CAGCAAATTTGAAAATACAACATGTACCTTAACCAAACAAAGTGCGTGTTTGGTGTTGGAGCGGGAAAATTCTTGGGCATGCTTACGCTTAGGGAATAGAAGCAAATTCGATGCTACAACAAGTTGAGGTTATTAAGTCCACTAAAATTTAATGATATGTATGATCATTAGATATGCAGTAGTGTTGTATAAACTAATGGGTTAAATATGTCTTTCGTCCCTTAAGTATCACACGATTTTGGATTTAGTCCCTACTTTGAAACTTTGATGGCTTTTTAATCCTTATAGTTTTTGAACTATTACTCTTAATCTTAAAATTGGATGGCGTTAAATTGTCCTTTCATGTGGCAAAACGGCAAACCCACGTTTCAAAATGCCACGTTTAAGTGCTCCAGACAAATCCCTGCCACGTCACAACACCAACACCCCGCACTGTCCAGAACTCCCCTCTCTCACGTGCCCTGCTATGTTAGTCACCTCCTTCTTCTCCGTATCGCCTCCTTTCTTTAACGCCACTCTCCTATTTCCTGGCCCAACCTTTCCTCCTCTCTTATTGCTCTCTCAAACCTTCGTACCATCCGACTTTTATTATTCTTTCAATGTTTTTTGTGCTCACTAGCTTCCTTTCTTGCTAAACCTATAATCTTTCATAAAGCCTATCTGAACTGCATCACTCCCTATACTTTCATTCACTCTACAGTTCCCATTTCAATTTCCAACCTTCTTTTCTTTTTTCGTGTTCAAACCACTACCATGCTAGAGCCTGATGGTGCTGAACGTCATTCCGAGGCCAGTTCCGAGACTCTCATTCTTCCATGCTTGGAAGCTCCATGAGCAGCGAGAGCATTTGCAGTACCAGTTTCAGCCGTCTTTCCTTCGATCTCCTCCCGCCCTCGTCGGAGAGTCTCTCCCTTAAGCCTCATCGCTCCTCCGACTTCGCCTACTCAGCCATTCGCTTTGCCGCCTTCTGCCGCAAGGCCGCCCTCACCTTCTGCGACTTCCCCTCCTCCGTCGCATCGGCTTCCGTCGACATCGTACCGTCTACATCTGTCCCTCCGATCCGACAATTCAACAGCCCGCGTAAGACGATGAGGATGAAGAGTGCTTTTTTTGTACGGCGATGAAGGTGTGGACAACGAGCAGTGGATTGAAGAAGTCGCAGAGAGCAACTTTTCTCTTTTGCCTGGTGGAAATAGCTTAAAGTACCAAACTTTATGCGCCCTGAGGGGTGGACTGGTGAGAGAAATTTTGTGGTTTGCTTCAATTTCGCTTTGCAGTTGAAGATTCATGGTGGGTGCTTGGTGCTTCAGTTTTTTGAATCTTCTGTTCAAGCACGGGCTTGCCTGAATCCTCAAGAAGCACTAAACGTGGCAAGGGAGGTGGCATGAAATGTGGATTTGCCGTTTGCCACGTCAAAGAAAATTTAACGCCATCCAATTTTAGGGATTAATAGTAATAGTTTCAAAACTATAAGGACTAAAAGCCATCAAAGTTTTAAGTAGGGACTAAATCCAAAATCGTGTGATACTTAAGGGACGAAAAACATATTTAACCATAAACTAATATATATATATATATATATATATATATATATATATATATATATATTGTGTCTTGCTAACCGTGCAACAACTATACAATTCTCTAAAGTTATAATGTTTTTTTTTTTATATTGTTGGTTTATACGAGAAATCAATATTATATTATTTTAGTACACAGAAATATTTTGGCTTGAAAGAACTATTTTACTTCTACCAAAAAGTCTAACAGAATTTATTAAGTTTTAAGTATATTCGTCTAAATGAATATATCATATTGAGACAAAATGAAGGAATATGAAACATCTTTATATCCCTTGAAATTAAGTGTGAATAAAAAATGTATATCGTAGAAATTATTAGTTTTTTCTTTATGGCTTTATATGTACATATATTAGTATGATTGAATAGCATGTCATTGTAGTTCAAAGAAGCTTATGCCAAAAATAAGTTTTTTGTTTCACATGACCAGTTTAGTCATCATGGATTTATCATGATGTGAAAAATATTAACAATTCCTGTGACATCTACTGTGAAGAGTCAAAAACTTCTTGAGTTTCTATGTATTTCATGTCATAAGAAAAGTTGATAATTAAACCATCACAAAAAAATGATCAATCTATTTTAGAACAATACAGGTAGATGTGTGATCCAATACAACACTCATCATGTGGGATCATTTAGATATCTTATGATTTTTAATTGATGCCATCAACTAGATGGTCACATATGTGTTTATTATCAACTCGCGATCAAGATATTTGCAAAGTTATTAGCATAATTAAAGTTAAGAGCTCACTTCCCATATTATCCTATTAAGAGAATTCATCTTCATAATGTTGATGAACTTACATCTCGTTTTTTTATCATGAGTATTGTATATCAATTAGAATTCAAGTTGAACATCCAATACCACATGTTCATACTCAAAATGGACTTGCAAAATTGTTAGTAAAATGTTAAAACTGGTTGCAAGACCATTACTTATGAAAATTAATCTTCCAATGACTACTTAGGATATGCAATTTTGTGTGTTACAGTATTGATTCCCATCAAACCAACAAGTTATCACAAATACTTTACTATAGAGTTGGTTTTTGGTTAGTTTCCTAATATTTCTCATTTAGAGACGATTGAGAATATATGTTGGATATGATCTCCATTAATAATAAAATATCTTGAACAATCATAGGAGACTTGTTTATAGTTAAATTTGCCAACTGCCATTTTGATGAATAACTTTTTCAAACATTAGGGGAGAAAGAAAACAATTGGAAAAATATATTGGTTTGAATGAATTATTATTATCTCGTCTTGATCCTCCTACAAAAGTATGTGAATTGGAAGTTCAAAGGATAATTCATTTATAAAATTAAGTCAATCAATTACTAGATTTTTTAGTGACAACAAAAAGCTAACTAAATCTCATATATCAATGGCTAATGATAATTCATTTATAAAATTAGTCAATCAATTACTAGATTTTTTAGTGACAACAAAAAGCTAACTAAATCTCATATATCAATGGCTAATCTCCAAATAAATTTGACACTAATTCATAACATGCCTGAAGCGTGTAGGCCTGGTATTTGGTTCCAAAAGAACCTTAGGTACCTGAAATTGTTGAAAATGATGAGATCTCAATAAATTATGTTGTGAATAAGATAATATGAAACCAGAATAAAGTCAACATTGACGTTGCTTTTGCATATAATATAACAATGAATGTTATGAGTGACAATGAGAATGAATAACCAATGACCATTGAAAATTGTCGACAAAGAAAAGATTATCTAAAATGGAAAGATGCAGTCAAAGCAAAATTAAATTCGTGGGTTCTTAGACTTGTAGTTCACACACCTGATGGTGTAAAACCCATTGGGTACATTGGATTTTTTATGCAACAACAAAAGAAGAATGGTGAAATTGTTTAGGTACAAAGCATTATTAGTTGCTCAAGTTTTTTCCTAAAGATATGATATTGCTTTTTTGCAGAGACATGTTCGCTAGTATTAACACATTTCAATATTTGATTAGGCCTAGTTGCAACAATGAGGTATGCATTTACATATAATCGATTTGTTACAAGCTATTGATATGATTATCTTGAAATGATATTTGTATGAGCTTCCTAAAGATTTAAAATTTGCCAAACAATGCAAATTCTAAATAGGATTATTGAATAAAATTGAACAAGTCCTTTTTTATAAACAAAAAAAATCAGGACATATGTTATATAACTAACTTATTGAGTACTTATTAAAAAAAATGTATTTGTCCTTGTATAGAATTTGAATTTGTCATAATTGTTGTTTATGAAGACAACATAAACATCACTTAAACTCCTAATTATAGACAATTGATTGCTTAAAGAAATAATTTGAGATGAAGGATCTTGGAAGTACAAAGTTTTGTTTCGAATTTCAAATTGAGTATTTAAATAATTGTGTTTTATGTACATCAAAAGACTCATATAGCGAATGTTTTGTTCTATATGGACAAGTCACATCATTTATGCATTCCAATAGTTGTGAGACTCTTAGTGTTGATAAAGACCTTTTTAGACCTTAAGAAAAGGATGAAGAACTTCTTGGTCTAGGAATACTATGTCTTAGTGTTATAAGAGCATTAATGTATCTTGCTTATTATATTCAACATGATATAACCTTTGTTATAAATTTGTTAAACAAGACATAGTTCTTCACCTTATGATACTATGAATATGGACTAATTTAACAATGAAAAGTACGTAAAATAAAGTACTTCTTCGTGCAGAGGATGTCAGAAGAAGAGACGGGAGACATGAGAGTCTAAACGGAAGAATGAAAAAGGATTTGGAACGACTAGAATTTTTGAAAGTGTTTCACTCTTAAAATTCACCAGGGGTCGGGTCGGATATCCTCAAGTATTTTTTTCTCATTTCTTTATCTAGCCATTTAAATATTTAAATCCATTTAACTCGTTTCCATTTATCCACCATTTTCCCAAACCGTAAAGAACAGACCCATCTCTTATTTCTACACGCGGTTTGGGTCCAGGTCCGCACTTTTTCCTCACCCCTATATACTATATTAAATATACTTTTATGAAATAAATAAATGTCACAATAAACAAATTAAGCATCCTTCAGTATCATATATATTTATATTCATTTCATCATTTTTAAATGGTAGATTATGAAATTACTTTCAAATTATATTATAAAAATTAGAAAATAAAAAAACTTTTAAATTATACAATTAAAAAATTAAAAATTATGTTTTGAATTATATAATTTAATTTTTTAAAGGAGACTTTCATATCGTACCATTAATTTAAAAATTAAAGAGTATTTTTTAAATTGTGTAAACCAAAAATCAAATGACTCGTGCATTATATGTATTTTTAGTTTTTAAATTATACAATTTAAAAAAAAATTCCAAGTTTTTTGTATTTCAAAAATAAACAGTAAAACGAAGAAAATCAAACATATTTTATGCGGGGGCGCAAGAAGAAACTTATGTAGGTGCGGTATCCACAAAACGTCGTCGTCACTGTGCCACCTTCCCACTGGCGCTTTCTCACTCTGTCAGTGCCCGCTTGCAGAATCTTTCTGGGCATCCCTCATTGCCGACGTATCCGTCTCTGTTTTCAACCGATGGATCGGCCGGCGACCGGAATTGGATTGGACACGCCGATCATGCACGATAGCGACCGTTACGATTTCGTTCGCGATATTGGGTCTGGGAATTTCGGCGTTGCTAGACTTATGAGGGACAAGCAAACGCAAGAGCTTGTTGCCGTCAAGTATATAGAACGCGGAGAAAAGGTTTGTGTTAACTCATCATTTCTTTCTGAAGAAGGAATCGGTTGTATGTTGATGCTGACGACTTTTTCAATTGAGCTTTTAATTTTTTTTTTCTGCCGTTCACTTTTGTCGAGTTGTTTAGTTAATTTTGGTAACATGGTGTCTGAATATGGAAAGTTTAGGATTGCTCTGCCACTTAAATGCTAATCAAGTAACCGTGTACTTTTTTATTGGTTGTACTATAGTAGTAGTGATTCAATTATCATTAATGTGACAATTCAATTTGTCTTCATAGCTTCTTTTTAATTGAACTTTTTGCTTTTATCAACATCTCTTGACAAAAGTAAAATGATTTAATTGTTGATAGATAAGTTTGATTAATGAATAGTGGTCGCTGCACGAAATAAGGTGACTTGATCGATGACTTTTTGCCTTGATGATGAAATGATGCCATAAAGTTTAAGTTATAAGTGGGGATCTGGTGCATACGATTTGTCTGGCTTGTTTTTGGTTGTTCTGATAGCGCACTAGACAGGAGTGGAGTTTACGGAATGAGATATAGAATATAAAATCATTCACGTGTGAACTTATCTGCTTTCACCTAATAGTTTGAGCTTTAGGAATAGTTGGTTCAGGATTTAGCCTTGAAGCTTATACAATCACGTGGTCTGTAGTTCTGTCTTTATTACCCCATTTTTCTGGATAAATGATTAATTTCAGCACAAGGTAACTTGCATTCTTCCGTGCCAGGGAGGGTTTATACATGAGGTGTGTAGTCAAATGTTGGATTGATGCAAGTGGTGAACCAAGATCATCTGGTTTAATTAAATTTTAGGCTTACACATTTACAGAAGAAATAGTGAAAAAATGAATTTATTTTTGGTGGTCTAGCTTACACTTTTTGATTCAAAAATAACGTGAGATGCTTTTTGCCTCTTTCATTCCTATACTGGTTGACAAGGCGCTAGACTGATATTTTTCCTATCATTTACTGTGTTGCAGATTGATCAAAATGTTAAAAGAGAAATAATTAATCACAGGTCTCTAAGGCATCCTAACATTATTGGGTTTAAGGAGGTTTGTTTAACTATTACATTTCTATATTTTTATGGTCAGAGAAAGGAATAATCATATTTATGGAAAATGTTCAATAAAATTTCACTCAGGTCATTTTAACACCTACCCATCTTGCCATTGTAATGGAATTTGCATCTGGAGGAGAATTATTTGCCCGAATCTGCAATGCAGGGCGTTTTACTGAGGATGAGGTTCTTTAAGAATTCTGTTTACTTTTGCTATACTTTTTCAGTCGGCACAAAGTTGTGCTAGTTATCTATTTCCTGTGCAGCTATTAACCTATTGTTATGCCACAGGCTCGTTTCTTCTTTCAACAACTCATATCTGGTGTCAGTCACTGTCATGCAATGGTAACTGATCTCTTTTTCCCCCACTATTGTATATAATTTGTAGTTAACCTACATAGAATGTAGTATAGGCAATGTATCAACCTTTTGAGTATTTTCTGCTGAAGAAATATAAGCCATACACTCTTTTGAACACATTCGTTTCTATTGGTTGAAATTACATAAATATGTGGTTCTCACGTATTTAATGAACGTCTCCCATTATTCTGTATTTTTCAATAAATTTAACCAATAGTTAAGAGAAAAGGGTGAACCATGGCGCAGCAATAACAGTTGGGCCTGGTGACTGATTGGTCATGGGTTCAAATACGGAATTAGCCTTTTGCACACACCAGGGTAAGGCTGCATATAATTATCCTTAATACCTTGCATGATGAGGAATCTTCTAACATTGGTTTGTTTGTTAATTGTAACATCTTATTTAAATAGTATAAACACTATTAAGAAAACATAACAGAATCAATACGATAAAACAGTTTAACTCAAGGAATATATAAAATATCCATACAATTATCCAAAATAACTATAAGTCTAACTTTATATACAACACAAAAGGAAATAAAGGAACTATTTATATAATGTCTTTCAAAATATAACTAGATAAACTAAACTACTCTACTCATAACTACACGTCCACGTCATTTCCTCCCAAAGCTTGCTCTACTAAAAGGTCATCTTTCTCTTTTCACACCAACCAGATGATCATTGCAAAAAGAAACCAAACAAATACAAATAGCCAAACAAACACAAGCAACCAAACAAAGAAACACACAAAGGGTAAGTTAATGTTAAAAGAAACAATGGGTCATGCACTTGTGGTAGCCTTTACTGCTCTGCAGAGCCATTGCCAATGGGTTTCACCTTACCACACACACAAGGTTAGTCCGTTCTGCGTTTTAGGCCAAGATGGAGCACCTAGACTAGGACCTCCTGCTACTTTCACCACATGCATCACCCTCTCTACTTGAGAATGAGTGGCCATTAGAGTATCAGGATAATCCCCAAGACTGAGTTTCCTACATTCATAGATAAAAATACAATACTTGAAGCAACCGTTAAGAATTTCCTCCTTGGAATTTCTTTCCAAACTCATTTATCCACATATGTAACCTCATGTAAACTCCATCATACAATTCTGTTGGAAATCCAAGTGTGAGTCCAAGTCCCACATTGGATAGAAATGAGAAAGTAAAATACTATATAAAGGTGAAAGACCCATTAACCCATTGCCTTAAGGTTTTGAGTAGAGAGTGGTGCCAATCTCTTATGTGGTTGGGCTCAAATCTCATTTGGTATTATGTCTCCCAAGTGAACCTCCTCCTCGGTAGACCTAATAAATTCTATAAATATTACTAAACATCCATTAAAGTGCTAAAAGCAGTTCAAGCTCAACATGAAATAAGAAAACAAAATGCTTAACTCATGAATCAAAATTCTAATGCTTTAAACCATATTTTTAATTCACTAACTAGCCAACTAAGTCCTAAATGACCTCAAAGTAACCACCAAACAACAAATTTACTTATAAAACCATTCCTCCAATATTTCACCGGTTAAAAGACAAGTTTAAAATGATCTAAAAACATACCTCAAATATTAATTATCTCTCCAAAGCCCCTTCTCTAGAAATTCACCTATCAAAACCTCAATTTAGACTAAAACCAGTCCAACAACACTTCATTTCCTACTTTCAACTCTACGTCAAATTTGCACCTATAGAACTTCAAAACAATAGCATCCAAAGTTCACACCATTATCAAATCACAAGCATACACCGAAATATTCATAAATAAGCAATTATTCACTCGTCAATATATAACATCACTCAATAAGCATTTCAATTAATATCATATTCAACCAAGCATAAATTTCACTACCTATCAAATGCAAATTCATGCTTCTCATACAAAAAAATTAAAGCGAATATTAGCTTCCCTTACCTGACAGAAGATCAAACTTTTCTAGAAAGCCTAAAACAACTCCAACGTACAAAAATTCCTATATGTTCATACGAATCATAGAAACACAAATCACAGAAACACGAATCACAGAAACACGAATCACAGAAACACGAATCACAGAAACACGAATCACAGAAACACGAATCAAAGAAACACGAATCACAGAAACACGATCACATAAATACGATCACAAAAACACGATCACAGAAACACGATCACAGAAACACGATCACAGAAACACGATCACAGAAACACGATCAGGGTACACCGTTAGGACCACTGATCAACAAAGAGTTTTATAGAAAACTCAGATGATACATGCAACCACAGATAATACGCATGCAAAGGAGAAAAAAATAGACTAAGGAAAAAGAGCAGAAATCAACTTACTCTTTTGTAGAAACTGATCGGTTAGACTTGAAGATCTCACCACGAGAATCACTCAGGCGGTCTCCAATCTTCAAACAGATGAATAAGGGATGAAAATCCTTAGAGAGAAGTTAGAGAACTCTAGAAAAGTGGTTTCTAGAGAGACTACGTGTTTTTTAAATAATGAAACTCGTTCCTCACAAAACTATTTATATTAAAACTAGGGATGACAACGGGTCGGGTCAGGCACGGATAGTGACTACCCGCAACCCGACCCGACAAAAAATCCACCAGCTACCCGACCCGAAAAAAAAATCCACCTACTATCCGACCCGCTACGCGCACGGATACCCGCTTAAAAAATACCTGCGGGTATTTTAAAACCCGCAGATACTAGTGGATACCTGCGAATATCCGCAAGTATTTAAAAATATATATTTTTATAGATTATTAAAATAAAATTACAAAAGATATATAAAATATAATATAAATTAATTTTAATTTTAATTAAATTTAACTTAATAAAATTTAAATTATATTTTCATTTTTATTTTTTGCAGGTAGCGGATATACGCGGGTATGGATAGTATAATACCTGCACTCGACCCGTTTATAAGCGGGTATTAAAATACCAGCAACCCGCGGGTAGTAAATATCTACGGATACCAACTATCCGTCACGTATTTTTTCCACGGATATTTGCCGATGCGGATTCTTTTGCCATCCCTAATTAAAACCTTTTATGATTAAAATAATTGAATCTCGTTAATTTTCAACCACTATCACTTCTAAAATACCATTTTTTAGGTCTTTACATTAACCAATAGTAGAGAGTGTTTTGTTAACTCTCTTTATGTCTGATGTATTGGTTTTATGTATCATAACGTGTCTCCTCATGAAGGAAGTGTGTCACCGGGACTTGAAGTTGGAAAACACTTTGTTGGATGGAAGCCCAGCACTCCATTTGAAGATATGTGATTTTGGATATTCCAAGGTAAGCCTTTGTCATGTCCTTTTCATGTGTGAGTTACATTCTAATATATTTTACTGGGATGTAAGCTCTGGCTCAGTAAATTTACCTCTAAATGATTCTTGTCACAAATTTAACTGAACCTTTCAATATCCACAAATGTTCTTTAGTTTTCTTGTGAAGCTATTTTTTTCTGCAGATATATATAGACTATTCTATTACTTGAGTAACTAATTCCTTAAGATACTAAAGGGTTCTTTTAGTAACTTTTGTTATTGGAAAGGGGAAATTCTGCATGACTATTCATTATGAATATTGATAATCTGAATTACTTAACAAGTTTTTGCTTGATCCATTCTTTATAATTTGGCCTATCCCAGGTTAAGCGATGGAATGATAGACGAGAATGTAGGCTTGAATTCAGAAAAGGCTTAGGTTTTGGAAATTTATGTTCACAAGAGGAAAGCTAGTGAGGGAGAAAATTAGGAAGGTGATCAGTTTGGCTAGGGGTGGAGGGTGAACGTGGGGAAATTGAGGAACGGTGGAAGTTAGTTTTGCATGTTTGTTTTGTTTTAGAGGGAGCGTAACTCTTATTCTCTTAGGAGTTGATGCTCTGCAGGTTGTAAAAGTCATAGGCTCCATTTCTGGTTCTTAATAAAATTGGCTTACTTGTTTCTTAAGAATCCTGTCAATTGGTTCAACTTGTCAAATATTGGTGTTTGGAAGGCTGGCTCATGCTCCAAAGGGTGGTGGATAAAGTAGAAGTGTTTGAAACCAAAGTTGCCACATTTGAGGACTCAGCAAAACTTTCGATGGTGGAATTTAAGCAATCACTTTTTCAGGAGATGAGTAGGACTTGAGATGTTGGACTAGTGCCCATATCATGAATTAAGTTGTGGAAGCAACAGTGAGTGGAGACGACATGGATCAGTATCTTATGGTGGTGTGAGATTGGGTTTCCCCTAGTTTATGATATGGACACTGCTGTTGGGTCGATCACTATAGTGGAAATTATTTTGAAGTTCTAAATATTTCGGATGAAGTTAAAGTTAAGCTGGTTAAGCAATGGTCCTACTATCCACTTGCTTGTATGAGACTGAAGTGAGATGCTGGTAGTGTGCTATGGAGGTCACTGTTATAACGATCTATTTTGAAGAGCTTTTAAACCTTCATCAAACGAGAAAGGTTGAACAGTATATTTTGAACTTTTGAGTTCTTCTCATCATAGGTAGGATGATTAGCTGAAGCATAGTGTAGCCTGAGTGGTCTTTGGCCAGAGTTGAGATGGTGAGTCTGATATTTTAACCCACGCATCTGATCTAATATGGTGAAGCTTGCTCCTGATTTTGGGGCAGAGGCTATGGGTACATTGGAAAATTTGGCCAGCTCTGCTTTCTGATTGTAGGGGGAGGTTTTTCTTGTGTTTTTCCACAAAATTATAAAGGCAGTTTGCTGTATAGAAAACTGGAGCTACTAAGTTCTCCAAGTTCCCAATATTTAGGGCTTGGCTAAATTTGAATTTAGTTGATAATCGCCATTCCCTTTTGTTAAGAAATTTCTTATCCTTGTATGAATGGGTTAAAAGTCTTGCAACGAGCCCAATGTCTTGAGTTCGAACCTCGTTGGGGCTCCTACTCCTATAAAAGGGGAGTCCCAAATTCACCAGGTTGTCAGGTGTTTGTTAAGGAATTTTGGATCCTTGTATGAATGGGTTAACTTTTTGTAACACCTTTCTGTGCTGTTTGTATCTTTGAACATTCTTCTTGTGTTTTGATGTTTCACAATTCACATACAGGGGAACATCTAAATCTATGAAAAGTTTCCTGGTGTCTTGAGGCATCTGATATTTAGCGCACAGCAAACCTTTGTGGTGGTGTTAAGATAATTCATCTTGTATTTGTGTCATATTTATGGTACTTGGTAATTAAAATAGATCTTACGTTTGCATGCAATGACACTT